ATGGTGTCTTTGGCACACCCCCTCCTCTGTTGCTGGCCCTCTTCCTCAACGACAGTCTTTTGACAGTTTGACATGACTGTCGACGAGGAAGAGGGCCAGCAACAGAGGAGGGGGTGTGCCAAAGACACCATCTTAGCACCAACATAACTGGTTTGTTCCACTTTGGAGTAAGCTGTTTGGGAGAAGAATCAGTTTTGTGTTGTGTATTTCCTTGACTGATGAAGCCTTCTGGATGGAAGATGAAACGTTTCAGCACACACACAAAAAAAGAAACTGTCCAGATGACCTGACTGAAAAATGTTGGATTGTATACCTGGATTATTGAGCATGGACTTTTTTGTGGGAGGTTTTTGATTATTGTTATGGTTATGCATCATAACAAATGTCCAAAACTAAAAAAGTTTCAGTAAAAATCCTTCCAGCTGCACAACATCCGATATCAGAGGAAACAATCACCCAAAAAATGTGATTACATCCAGAAAAAGAGGAATTAAAGTTTCCAAAAGCAAAATCTCAGAATGAAAGTAACAGAGCTGCTCCAACATGCAGCCACCTCAAGCGGCGCAATTCTAGAACAATGCATTTATTCCCAGGTCTGAATGTTTTAAGTCTTGTTGCAATATGTAAAAATATCAGTATAGTATAGTAAAGTATTAGTAAAGTATAGAATAGTACATTAGTATAAAAGTTAAACAACAGATAGAAGAAGACTTAGGGTACTGCACCTCAAGAGTTTTACACTTCCCATCGAGTCGACTACACAAGCGCTGGTAGTTGGCCGTCAGTACATCCAGCTCCGAGCGCAGAGCATCATGGGCGGTGGGCGGGGCCTTACCGATGAAGCTGTTCACACTGTCAGTCAGGAGTTTGACCTTGAGCTCTTTGGAGTGGACCTCCTCCTGGGCCCTCTGCGAAGAAACCAAGAAAATAACATGAATACAAATGTCCCTTTTTATAAAAAGTACAACGTCGCGAAGACCAGTCCACAAAATATCATAACATAAAAGGTAATCAGGTACGAAGGTACATCCAATGATTATTCACATTAAGGTTCATTAAAATCTGTCCCGTTTCATGAGCTATTTTGCTAACAGACAAACAGGTTGACTCTAATAGTAAAAGCTAAAGTTTGACAAAAATAGCCTGTGCAATTCATAGAACTTGAAGTACTGTATGTTGTGAATGAGTCTCAACTACTGCCACACCAAAATTTAGCTCAACAACTGTACAGATTAGCTGAATTATACACATTTTTGTGTTTTCTTAAATCATCCGGCTATGGTGGCCACCTTGAATTGGAGTGCCTTCGAAAGTTAAACACTTGTAGCTGTACATCCAGTGATTATCTCCTGGAAATTTCATTAAAATCCACCAAGTGGTTCATGAAATAATTTGTTAACAGACAGACCGAGTTACTGAAATGGGTTATTTTCCATCTCAATTTAAATCAAAGATCTTGAATTATTAGTTAGCCCTCAGAAAATGGGTTTGATATCAGTCTCGGCTACTACCACACCACAGTTTAGTTCAACGGCTGTAAAATGGACTGGGCTTTAGACATTTTGTGTGTTTAAGTTTAAATGACATGCATTTTTTGTAATATTTTTGCTTACTTTGATAGGTTATGAATTATTATTTGGATCCTAATATAAGCCTTTATTATGTCCAGTTCGATGCTTGTTGCGCTCTTTGATCACTCTAAGGGGCAACCGTAAGTTTGGCCTCCTAAGTGGTGACTGAAGACAGACCGACTGCCTACGTAGCCTTGGAACCCAATAATAACCACTTGAGAGAATGGTGCAATATTATTTTTTCGTAATATTTTCTAAGTAACAGTAAAAGTGGAAGACAAATGTGCGGTAGACTGAGCGATGGACACAATAACATAAAAGTGGACGGAAGCAGGTTTGCTCATACTTTTCCACTGACAGACTGCATGGAACAAATGAATAAACCGAGTTTGGTTTCTACTTAAGAGTCGAATGTGGGAGTGCAGGAGAGGTTGAAAAGTTGAAAAGAGCAAGGAGGGCAATATCAGCAAGAACGAGGAGACTGAAATCTGTTATTTTTCATGGAGCGAAGTAAAAGACTTCTAATGCCGAAAGCTTATGGGGCTTTAACAAATCAAACGGAGACGAGAAGTGATGGAAAAAAAAAAATCCATCATTTAGAAGTTAAAGACAAAAGACTTGGAGAGCTGATGCAAATTGATGGAAAACACTAAGGAATTTGAAAAGTACAGCTCAGGAATTGACAAAAAAAAAAAGTCTTAAAGCTGTTGGTGAAAAGGATTTTAGCAATAAAAATAAGGCATCTTGGGGGTGTTATGGTCTTTGATTGGTCACATTTATGGAAAAAAAAAGAGCTGGATCTGAGCACTAGCTATAATTATCAATTTCAATGCTTGCATTGTTCATTACGTGAAAAGGTTTGAATTTTTTAAACAAGACCAAGTTAGAATGAAGTATCCTTAAATGTTAATAAAACTAAAATCAAATAAAACTTCTGGTGTTGAGAGAAACTCCTTCCTTAATGTCTAGTTCACGACAAGTCTGAACTATTTATTATTCACAGTTAAACTTAATGGCTGAATCCACGGAGTCAGGATGTTTCAAAATAAAAAGGTGCTAGTGGCTAAACTAGGAAACGGCAATAAGCTAAAGAATAATATTTTTAGAACAACAGTCAGTGTGAGTGCACACTTTCATTCCACCTTATGTACCACATGTGACGTGAACGACAAAAAAGAACCTCGAACTTTGAATGTGCAAATCTTTGGGATGCGTTTTTTATATGAAGTTATGAGAGTTAGGCAACAATTCATGCGTAAAAAAAAAAAATCTAATCTGATAAATATAGACATTAAAAATTATAGATACATATAGGTTAAAACAGTTTATTGAAGCATCTAAATTTATCGTAAAAGAAAGAATAAAGTGCAAGCATTCCTTGAAGCGCTAGTCAAATGCGTCTTGTTTAGGAACATCTACTTCCTGACTGGATTTAGCCAATCACGTTTCACACGTACGTCCCACTAAAGCCTTTTCGATTATTTAGGTCTATCATGTGAATCCATTTAACCCCTTTTCATTATTTGGGCCAATCACGTTTGATGCATCCAACCCACCCACAAAACCTCTGTTTATGCTTTGGACCAATTATGTTTAGTGAGTCTAACCTCATCTATGGTCATGAGCTTTGGATTGTGACTGCAAGAACGAGATCATGGATACAAGTGGCCAAAATGAGTTTTCTCCGCAGGGTGTCTGGGCTCTTCCTTAGAGATAGGGTGAGAAGATTGGTGGAGCTGGGAGGAGACCCAGAGGAAGACCCAGGACACGCTGGAGGTACTATGTTTCTCGGCTGGCCTGGGAACACTTCAGGATTCCCCCGGAGGAATTGGCCCAAGTGGCTGAGGAGAGGGAAGTCTGGGCCTCCCTATTGAAGCTGCTACCCCCGCGACCTGAACCCGGAGAAGCGGAAGAAAATGGATGGATGAATGGATGTTAGAGTCACCAAAGCACCATCAGCAAACACAAAAAAGGCTGTAACTTTGCCAGTGTTGCAACTATACACAGTAGTCCCTCGCTACTACGCGGTTCGACTTTCGCGGACTCACTGTTTCGTTTTTTTTCAATGCAAGATTGTACACGACACACGATTGGCTCATTGATGGAAGGCGACCAACCAGAGCATTGTGCTGAGGGGTGAACTGGCCATCGGGAGCACTGGGAAATTTCCCGGTGGCCTGGCCCGCTTGACCACTTCCAATAAACAATCCATGCCTCTCACTCAGGCATCTGCCCCACCGAAGCTCCCCGAGCAGCATAGACGGGGAAAAGCAGATAACACACCCTCCCCCCGAGGCTGCCTGCTATAGCAGAACAACAGGCGGGTGGTAGTACCGGTAGATAGAAATACTAAAATAAATATAGTCCCTACTTTGCGGATTTTCACCTATCGCGGGGGTGTCTGGATCGGAACCCCCGTGATAAGTGAGGGACTACTGTACATATAAATTTGATGAGGTAGTAGGTGAGAGTTCAGCTTGTATTTTTAGAGCTAACTGCTTGCAAAATCGGTTTTTAAATCTCTGTCATACAACTTTCACTGATATGTTGTAGGATTTTATACTTTGTAAAAAAAACCTTGCACCTACACTTCTGTTCCCCGACAGCTCTGTTCCTCGGGGTTATGCTCAATTTACAAACCTTGAGTTCCTCGACAGCCTTGCGTAGCTCTTCAGGGGTCTTGTATGTGAAGTCTCTTTCCAGATAATCTTCTTCGGCCTGGTTGATCCATTCTTGCATCTCCTGCATCTCCTTCCTCAATGCCATGGTCTTATCAAGGCCTCCTTTCAGAGCCGACTTCTTTGCGTAGGCCTAAACGGAGGGGAAATATGAATGCCAGTACTACACTACTTCATACTTTGCACTAGATTCATTATTGTGTTTCTTTTCATTTTTTATGTTGATTTAATGTCTGTCAATTATCACCACAAGAGAGAAATAATGTTTGACAAGCCAAAACGTTTTTTGTGAAGGCAAAAGTGCAGCTAATTGCTCACTTCTTTCTTCACTTTTTGCAAACAGCACTGAGTGTTGACAATCAGAAGCCATTTGCCCTGAAAGTTGTTTACATAAATATGTGAGTTTTGCTTTAAATTAAGTATAATAAACTGCACCGGTGAACGAAGACACTGTTCAAATGACCAGCACATTTTGTAGGAACTTTGGGAATCAGACGTATGTGCAAAACCTAAAATAGCTCCCACTAAATATGCTCAAACCATTAGGGAATCAGGGCTGGAGTGTGGTTAAATGTGACTTACCTGTTTGCAGATGTTCTCCCACTGAGCGTTGAGTTCATCCAGTTCTTTTTGGATGTGAATGGCAAACGGTGGCTCTGCCTCTTTCTTGAGGTACTGGCCCACCTCGTTGATTCCACTGACACTGGGTTGGATGGTGTGGATGTCATTTACCAGTGCCTGACCAATCAGAGAGCATGACAAAGTTTACGCAAGAAGAATTCTGAACCCAATAAGATCAGAGCACATATCAGACGTTCACCTGGTCTTTTTGAAAATGTACATTTAGCACAAAAAGTAATGAAATGTGTTTAGTCTATTTCTTTGTTGTAAAAACACTTATTTGTCAATGTCACCTGACTTAAAAATTTATGCAAAAAGGTGCAACTTATATGGCGAAAACTACGATAACGGCTGCTTAATCAACAAATTAATTTTCCAAACAAATGTGGCATCGTTTAAGGGGAATTAAACAGGTTTTTATTGGTATAAGATTTTATGCCAAGCGCTATAACAAAGAAATAATTAACCAAAAATCTTTTGGTCAAGTTCATATTTACTAAAAAGTTTATTTACAGACCTTTATTTTATTACCTTTAAAGGTTATTTTATTACATCTTTGGGGTGTTTCTCTACCTCTTTTTAGCCTTTAATATTTTTCTTTTAGATTTTTCTTATCAATTCCATTTGTTGGCCGAGAAAGCAATAATTTGGTCTTAAGCTGTGCCTGGAGGCATGTTTTGATTTTTTCCTTACTGTGCACTGCTCTAACTGTTTCTCCAGTGCTTCAGAGTCTCCAAGAGCCGGCCATTCCTCATTCAGAAAGACATCCACATCCGCCATCCACTTCTTTAAAGTCTTCACATCATTCTAGTGGAAAAAACAAAAAATCAGAAAGAAGTGCACATCAACTGTTTCACTCACTTTCTTTAAGAAGACTGCGTTAACATGGCTTACCTCAAACTGCATCAGTTTGGCCATGAGTTCCTGGATTCTCTGGGCATTGTCTGTTAAAGTGGAGCCCAGTCGTCTCCAACGGGCCATGATGGCGTCAATCTCGGAGCGATACCTAAAGCACAACAACATAAAAAAAAAAACAACGTTTTAGGTCAATGATACATACGTACGTACGTAC